GAAACTCCAGCCAAAATGTTTTTCTAGCTTTGGATAGAGTAGGAAAAGACCAGAAATTTTGTCAGGTTTCTATTGCTTTTTGTATCTCCATTGGAGAGATACATTGCTTGTCATTAATGAGCATTGTCAGAGGGACAGATATTGAGGGTAAACCCAAAATTCAACAATTGTCACTGGAACAGGAATAGTGGAGATATCTTCCAATGGTGACACCTGTTCCAGTGACAACTGTCACAGGATGAATCTTCCCACACATTGGGTAGAGTGGTACTAATTTTGGTTTATGCTGTTGGGACAGGAAAGGACATCTTCCGAGGGTAGACAGAGATGGCAATTTAAACCAGAAAGAGATTCTAACTCTTACCCACCCTATCCAAAAAAAAAAAAAAAAAATAGCTGGAGTTCTACTTCAAAGTTTAAAATCTGGTATTCTGTTTGTGGTGTAAAGTTTGCCAGTTAAAATACTGTTAGTTGGTAAATCTAAACAGATGATATTCTTTAGTATTTTGGTCAAAAACAACATAAGCAGTGGCACAGTTAAAGGTCTTAATTTAACAGACCTTAAATTGAATCAGTAATCAATGTTAATGATACTGATGATGGATAATTCACAAAGAAAAAATAAAACATAATTACCCCTACATTTTTCTGTTGTTTACCATGTCTGATTTCTTATTTCATTGACAGGTTCTTGCTAATTTGAGCAGCATTGAGGCATTCTAGAGGTCTATGTGTAAGTGCAATGACCTTGCTGTAAAATACCAAACTCTGTGGAAGTGCCTTTTGTTGCAAATGCTGTTTCAAAACTGTAATTTAAACATTGAAACCTTATGTCATCACATACAACACTGAGCCTGCTTGCATACAGAGACACTATCCAGAATATTTCAGATACCCAAATTACACTGTTAAACTGTATATCAGCACTACTCATAGTAACTACTGGGACAGTTGCATACCTCCCAACTGTCCCTCAAGTTCATCTGTCCCTCTATCCTCTTCAGATACCCCTCCTTTGGGTCAGATGTACAGATATCTAAAAGCTTCTATTTAACTACCAAAAGCGTTAATAACACTTGTAACTTAACTCTGTAGGAAAGGAAAAGTAATGGTGGAAAACAATAAATCTTTGTTTAACCAATTGTCTTATGCAATAAAATTGTTAATGGTCTGCATAAAGGGGTTCACTGTCTAAATCAATGTGCTCAAAGGTGCCCCCCTTTCTCATCTCAGAAAGTTGGGAGGTATGCAGTTGGAAGGTTAACTTGTAAATTACTGATTCAGCATAACCTATTAATTTTTCTTTTACTTTCTGATTCCTATGGACCTTTATGTATAACTGGATGAAACAATTATAGCCTTTGCATTTACCCTATTGCATTAATCAATTACAAACCTGCTGGGCAGTTTGGTGCTCACATAATACATCTTTTTTTTTACCTCTTCTCATTTTATCAAACTGCTGAAAAAAAGGATGGTGACAAATATATATTTTAGAGTTTTGCTGCTTTGTTGAATTTTACAAATATTTTTGGTCTCCCGAAAACCACTAGATATATGAGGATGCATCTCAAAATCAATGCATACAGGAAAAAGGTTTCTGCAAAGCACAGGGGCATAATCTATTTTAGGTTTACAGTTCAGGCATATAGATTCCACACATTGTACTGGGAGATTGAGTACAAGTTGGTACATTGAAGCTTGGGTCATCAACAAAATTGGTTATGTATTTTTGCACTCTTTCCTGCACTTCACTGTATATATATGTCCCATGCTGGGGGTGATTCACTAAAGTGAGTACTTTTAAGGCAAGCAAAAACAGTGTTCACTATAAACACCCGTTTAGATGGGGATATTTCTATTATTTTTAACTTAATGCATTTAATGCCAATGATCTTTGGTATGAACATATTCCTCTTGTCTGTCGTAATGACTCCTAATCTCTGTGCATACCATTGTGCTCAACCCAGAAGCCTTTTATGACATCACACTGATTTACATCCCTAAAACAAGTATAGAATAAACAATTAAAAAAGACAAGATACATCTAATTACAAACTGATGGCAATATGAAAAGCCAAAACAAATAAATGGCACGCAAAATTCAGAAAAGTGCATTTCGGCACAGACCAGGCAAGTGGGAACAAATTCTTTGGTATCAGGTGTGATTATTCAATCACAAAGTAAATGCTCAAGTGAGGTAGCCTTTTTTTATGAGGTTCTCACTAGAAATGTCTTAAATGTCATGTTTGTATACCTAGAGCAACATATACACAAAATGTTGACTTGCCCCAAGTGGAAACATTTTCATTTCTTTTGTTGTCCAACCGACCTTTATGACAACAAAATGATGTCTTTGAACAGTTCAGGGAGCTTCCAAAGGATACGCTTTTTTCTTGGTAAGTGAAGGAGATAAAAACATACTTTTTTTATTTTCCCATCCTCCTTCCTTAGGATCTCAAAATATATAACTCCTGATCGTTGTAGTTAGTAATCTAATCTTTATAACAATAAGAGAAAAAAAACCCTTTTGCAACCCATCACTAAAAGCATGATTTTTCTTCATCATTTCACAGTTCTTATACTGTATATGTACTTTATCATCAAGGTGCCTACTTGCAGAGTACACAATCCACCTATCCACAAAATGAAGAGAAGCCACATTGAAGCCACATCACTGATTTATATATATATA